GAGTCTGCAGAGTAAATATGGGAGTTTCTTCATTTCCGGACACTCTTCTTCCCACTTCCTGTGGTTTTCTTGCAGCTTGTTTTGCAGCCTGATCAGCTAGATGGTTGCCCTTTGCTTCATCTGAGTCCAACTTCCCATGTGCCTTTACCTTCAGAATGGCCACTTCTTCTGGGAGTAGGAGGGCGTCCATCAGCTCCTTGATTGCGGAACCGTGCTTGATTGGTGTACCGGCGGTAGTAAGAAATCCTCTTGTTTTCCAAATTAATCCGAAGTCGTGAGCCACGCCCAGTGCATATCTTGAATCCGTGTAGATATTGGCATGCTTTCCTTCAGAGATCTTGCATGCTGAGGTCAGGGCTTGCAATTCAGCTTCTTGTGCAGACATAGTTGATGGTAAAGATGATGATTTGACAATTTCATCTATTGTGGTTACGGCATATCCTGTATGGTATCTTCCTTCTTCATCAGCATATCTTGAGCCGTCCACAAACAGGGTGAGATCGGGATCTACCAATGGGTCTTCATGCACAGTTGGTAGATTTCCATTTTCATCTGTTCAAAACAGTCATGAGGTGTATCTGGGTCGTAGTCATTCACTATGGTTAAATCTTGGAACTCATTCTCCAGGAAATGACGCGGCCATGCTTTTAGGTGGTCAGTTGTTGGATATTTGACAGCACCATTTTCCTGTAGCTGTGATTCGTCCATAGTGGCCCATGCTTTTGCCATAGGCCCAAGATCATTCCATGATATTGTTTTCAACTTGGTCACAGGGACATGTGGAATGGCAGTGTCCCAATGACGGTACAAATGCTTGAGTTCCGGAGGTAGATGAATCAAGACCATACTGTTGCCTTCAGAATCACAGTAGAAGTCTTGTGCAGTGAATTTTACTTCGACCAGATGATAGAGTTCATCTTCATAGCAGGGTTCAGGAGTGATGTTTGATTTGTACCACATGGTACAGAAGGCATATCCTGCTCCGTCATGAAGGAGTGCTTGTCCATCATGAAAGGATAGGTTGGGATGCATTTCCTTCTTGATGGTGCCAGTGAGAAGAAAAACATAAGTTTCGTCCATGATGAATCCATAGTATACAGTTCGTCCATGATGAATCCGTAGTATACACCCCCCTCAGGGAGTGGCAGAAGAGTGGACGGATTGAGAACTTGACATCTTTGGAGGGTAATGTTGTCAGGCAACAAAAGATGACATTGAAGGCGAAGATGCCTGGCAGGAGTAACATGCTTAAGTTGGACCTGGTTGACTATGGCAGAAATGTCATGAGGGGCCAAGACAACCAGGGGGTGGCCAAGGACAAGATCTCCAGTTCTTTCAATGAGCTCTCTGGCAGCAAAGACGGCCGAAGGCGAGAGGGACGTCCTCTGGCCACAATATCCAGTTGGCAGGAGAAAAATCGAATAGGCCTTTGGCGGCCTCCAGGACCATGGGCCTGAGTGAGTACTCCTGTTGCATGGCCTTGTCTTTCAGAAACAAACAATTTGAAAGGTTTGGTATAGTCTGGTAGGCCAAGAGCAGGAGCAGAAGCAATAGCATGTTTAAGAGTACAGAAGTTGTCAAGGGCTTCTGTGGACAAGCAAAATGGGTCTGACTTGAGAGCATCATAGAGAGGTTGCATAAGGAGTGAGGCTTCTGGGATCCATGCTCAGCAATAGGAAATGAGGCCTAGGAAGGCGTGTAGTGACTTTGAGGTCCTTGGAGGTGGAATGTTCAGTACTGCTCTAACTCGGTCACGAGTGAGATGTCTGGTTCCCTGAGACAGACAATGGCCAAGGAAGATAACAGTAGGTTGGCAGAATTGCAGCTTGAGACGTGAAGCTTCACATCCTTGTTCTGCTACATAGTAAAGAAGATTAATTGAGCATTGTTCTGTTGTGGGTAGATCATCTCCACAGTAAAATGGGAAGGGAACAAAGAACTGTAGTGTCTTTTCGTGACAAAGGTGTATTCAATTGAACCTGGCCGTCTGCAGTGAGGGTGATGGATGCTTGGAGGCAGGATAGGACATCAGCACCAACACAAGAGACATCGGTGTCAGGCAGGAACGATGAGTCAGGCAGGTCTTGTTCTCTAGGAACACTGCGGGATGCACCTGTGTTAACCAGGAAACCAGGAAAGTAGTAGGGTGACCTTCAATAGGTAAAGTTACAGTGACTAGTGGCCCCCCTTGTTCCCTGTAGACACTGCCATGGCAGGGGCATTAAGCATCAGCGGGTTTGCTCTCCTCTGTATGGGCTGTGTTACTGACTCAAACCCCTTTCTATGTCATTAGCCATAGCTTTTTGCAGTCTGAACATGTCTATCATTATAAATAATGGTTAATAGTAAGTGAAGTGAAGTTCCTATATGTCTTTGGATAAAACATTAACTATTGCGGTACTATCATTTAAAGTAAAGGATGTTACTGTAAACATAAGATCTGTAACTAGCAAGATTCGATTAAGTAAAGATACAATGTTTAAAATAACTTGCATTATTTGGCTATTTCCCTTATTGCAAGATGAAGCTGGATAATCAGCTGTTATGCTCTTATATTCGTGTCCAACAGATTTCATATGTAGGTCACACCACAGTTGCAAATTACATTTTAGCAACCTTCTTTTTTTTTATATCACGGACAAATTGCTGATACAGGGAAACAAATGGCATGATTGTTTTAGTAATTATAATGTTTCTGTTCATAATATGTAGAGTGTAAGGAAAACAACATAATAGGGTAGGCCTCATGATGGAGGCAGCCATGACAGGGGCGGGGAAGGAAATGACAGCAAGGGAGGAAGTGAGAGGGGTGACGTCCATGATATGTGTGGGAAAGGAAGACAGGAGGTGTGGGCATGGTAAGGGCGGAAGTGACGTCACTTTAGAAGCAACCGTGACTGTAGATAGGTCTGTACTAGGCGCCATCTTTAGGGTGGTGGCTGACGCACTTTCAACAATACACTATATTATAACTATTAAAATAAGTCAGAGAAGCAACATTCTGTTCTGCAAAATGAAATACTAAACTATGAACAGACCTGGCAGGTTGAATAAGACAGTTGAGAACATTATGCATTTAACAGCCCATACAGCTGTTTCTAGAAACATGTACTTTAAAATAACTTTAAAATAATAAAATGATGCAAAATAAACTCACGGAATTCAACCAATTTCCCTTATTATCCTCTAGCCATTAATCACTTTCCTCCTCTTATACTGACTTAACAACATCGCATATTCCCTCTATCAGTGTTAACAGGCTACACCTTCCTAAATCCCGTATTCAACACTGAATGCAATCTTGTGAGCCCGTCACTCCCACAATCCTCAGTACCTTATACTCAAAACATAATTTATAAATATATAGCACTACGGAATCTGTTGACGCCATCTAAATGGCAACAATAATAATATTATTACACAATTATAGCTCCATAACCTGCCTGACAACGTCTGTGTATGGAACAATGTACACAATACTACACAATTAGAATATTTTCCAGCAAAAATCCCGTCTCTAATTCTTATCAGTAGAAATGCAGGCAAGCGGGGAGGAAAGGGGGGGAGAAAGTTAGACAGTGCAAAAAAGGGAGAGACTGCAGGCATGAAGATTAACCATGTGAGTGCTGTAAAGTAACAAGACAGAAGGACAGAGACTTATACGTTTGGAAACCAGAAATCTTTGACGGGAGAAACGGACTGGAGGTGCAGGGAGCTGCAGAGAGAGGATGAGGGTGACGAGATCTGTAGGACTGATGGGGGGGGGGAATAGGGATCCATCAGCATCCAGTAACACAATTATTATAATACACAAACAAACTTAAACCTTTGTGATCAATATCTTCCTCAACCTATCCCTTTTGCTGAATAGCTCTTGCTACTCGGTATCAGGCTTCTGCTGTACAAACCAAATCTTGGTCCGACAGCTTCTCTTTCTTCTCTGTCAGTAACTTACGCCAGCTCTCTGGCTACAATCTGCCGCACAGAGGTACGGTAATTCCACATACTTTAGCAATCTTCCTCACTTTCTTAACCATCTCTTCTCCTTCTCTGTCTTCCACTAGATCACATGCTAACCAACCCTTGCTGGGTTTATCTAACTTCTGTCCCATCCTCCCTATATAAGGCGTCCCAGATATAGAGAGAGAAAGGAACAGAACGTCTACCGTGCTCGACTGCTACTTTAAGAGCAAGCTCTTTAAGTACGTCTTCCCAAAACGTAGACTAGTCACTGATTCCGCCTACCCGTGGTAGCCGCGGATTGGAGCGTGGCGAGAAGTGTGTGACCAATCACTTCTCTCAACAGAGAAAGAGAAATAGGAGGGGAAAGTGTAAATAGTACAGTGAGTAAGATAAAAGTAAACACAGGAATCTGTGTGACAGACAATTAAGACAATAACATTTCAGTGTAAATACAGTGCATGCATCACAGTTCAAATAAGTTCAACAGTTTTATCCCTTGCCTTTACTCGTGTGGCCAAAAGCCACCTCCCTCAACCTCGTAGTGTCCCTGTTGCGGACCCACCCGCAAGTCTCACTACCAGCAGCCACAGGAAACAGCAACAGCTTCCAACCCGAATCCTGTATAGCCTAAAGAATTGGAATCTTACCTGCCTCAGCGCTCGAGGCTGGAATTTTACCAAGAAGCTAAGCGGTCAAAATGACACTCTGGGGAACCCCCAGGAAGCAATGAGTCTACATCATCCTCCACAGATTCCCCCTACTCTTTTTCCTTACAGCCACAGCCACGTGGCTCCTAAAAGAGTTAAACAGGCAATAGAGGACCCCCAGGAAAACTTCCACAGGTCCACCCCCCTTTTTCCTTACTACCACAGGCATGTGGTACCTAAAAGGAGTTAAACAGGCACTTACACTCCCCGGGTACTAAGTTAAACACATACCAATACAAACACACCCAGGCAACAGATAGTCAACATGCAGGTAAACTAGGTATCATTAACAATACAAAGACTCTGGGCAAGTTATTACCTGACTTTGATGTCCTCTCGGCAGCAGTCACAGACACTGGGGCAGGTCAATCACAGGGGCAGGAGCATACCGGCTAGGTGCTGCAGCAATCTCTACCGTGTATTCAGAGGTGATCAGGCTCTTTTCCTTCCCCCAGGATTCAGCCCCCCCAGCGTCTTCTTGGACAGCTGCCCAGACAGGACATAGCCCAGAGCCCCACGTTGGAAAGCGCCAATTTGTCATATATAATTTACTGCAAACCAATTAGTTTGAATGACTATCTGTTCCTGTCCAAATTAAAGATAATAAAGTTGCGTGCACGCAGAAGTAAATTCACACTGAGACACAAGGTTCAGGGTAATGAAAGAACTTCAGAGAAGTTTAATGGCTTCTGACAGAAAATGGGTGCGCAGACCCTTATAAAGGCATTATTACATCATTGAAGAAAAT